GTGTGTGGACCAGGCAAGACCTACGAGTCGATGGGTCGACCGCGATACTGTGAATGAGAGAGACGATGGCCAGCAAACAGGACCGTGAATATGCAAATAAAAACCGATCTTTTCACCCACCCGTCCATCCATCCATTCATCCATCCGTTCATCTGTCCATCCGTCCGTCCGTCCGTCCGTCCGTTTGTTCGTTCGTTCGTTCGTGGGACGCCGAATGGACGTCGATCTTGCAGACGCTCGAAGGTGTGTCTGCCCCAAAGAGTCTTGTTGTTCCACCACTTGCCGCGTCAGCATGGCCTCCACGTGCCGGGTCTCGAACTTCAACCTACCGGCTGCAGGCTCCTGCGTCCATCTTTAAACCAATTCCAGGTTAGTCCAGCCTCCGAACCGTCCAGTTTTCGGTACCTCCTCTTGCCCATCACTTTCTCCCAAGCCGTTCTTACCACTTCATCTCCTCTGCCGCCCTGCACACAATGTACTGGTGGTCTCGAAAACCTACTCATTTACGCTAAAAGTAATGTCGTGATTGCTATGGTAAGTATAAGTTTGCTTCGTCGACAATCTCAACACAGAATGTGCCATGGAAAATGCCGGACATTCCTTGCAATTCACATCTTCCCAGTGACCAAACGTGTCGACAGGTCGAAACTGCAGTCCACTTCAGCCTGGATGAGAACACCTTTTGGGAAAACACGGCTCTGTGAAATGCAATGGAAACTGGAGGTTGCGGACAAGTCCTCAATCAGCTCAAACGAAATGGGATAAACACGATTTATGTCTGTCACTCGGCCCCGGTGGGGCTCGAGCCTAGCGCCCTTTCGCGGCCGGTCAGGCAGGAGCCAGATCCTCGTGGGCTCCAAGCGCCGACTTGCAAAAGCCCAAACGCACACACACACACACACACATACAGAAATTACCACTTTTAACCTCTCCCCATTTAGCCTGTAGCCGTGGCTCGGCTTTGTCAAGTTGGGCGGAAAAATGCTGTCGCGGGTACACTTTCAAAATGACTATTCTGCCCACAACACACGCTCCAGGTTGGAAGACGGACTGATGCAAACGTCCCGGCTTCGAGTCCCGTCGGTGGTGCCGATGGGCTCGTGGTGACGCGGAGACGACGGCTTTTTTGACAAACAGTCGAGTCCCATAGCCACTTTTGCTTACGGAAGCATGGACCGTCAAGGCAGTGTACGTCTCATGTTTTGCTGATGAGGAATCAAAATGGCAACCTTTTTTTTCGCGACGCCATTAACATTCCGTTAAGTCTTCCGAATGTAAACCGTGCATCTTCAAATAATTAGAGCCATCACAATGCCCCTATTCGTTGCTGGGCATTTTACTGTATGTGATTATGCTTAGTTGTGCGCATGTACCAGTAGCATTGTGTGCGTGCATGTGTGCATGTGTGAAGCCGCGGGGTAGCTGCAAATGTGCGCCCGAAGACAGATGAAAATGGAGTTACTCGTCGACACGATGACCAATTATCAAACTGAAAAAAGAGGAATAAAGCTTGAATCACTTCGTTCATGTGTTGGTTGTTTCTTCCACTTGGCCCAATTGCATGTGTGCCGACTCCATCGGTACCATTTTGAAGGCAGGGTGTGATGTGATGAGAGGGTGTGAATGACAAAAAAGTGTGATTTTCCTCCATCGACACACCCGCAAACCCGGGCTTGCAGGAATGAGACGTGCAGAGTTGACGTGAAAACTGCCGCCACAACCACAACCACTGGCCGAGAGTGCAGCTGTCCGGAGTACCGAAAGACGACATGTCAACTTGATGGGGTGAAAGAGGCTTGTGAGGCAGATGACACCGTCCTTCTGGCCGCTGGTGCTTGGCGATTGTCCACCAGACTGACGCCAGCGACTCAAAATGTGCAAATGTGGCCTGCCAAGCCTCGGCAACTATTGACACTATCCGGTTTTCGCGCTTCATCTCAAAGGCCGAAACGAGACGACAACAGGATTCCTGCTTCCCGAGTCGACGGGGCTACCAAAGGACAAAAGGTCCTTCGCAACCTCTGTCCACTTGTGCGTAGGCCGGACGACGCAACTGTGTGCGGGACTCGACGAAAATGTCTACCAACCGACCAGTTGACGCGACGATTTGCCTCTTGCAGACAGCGACCGTGGCAGAACTGCCTCGAGTCCAGCCTCGATGAGGCATTCGGTCACATTCCGCAACAGGTTCTGGCCTCGTGTCGACCGGCAAGACAGAGCATTGCAGCAGTTTCGAGCTTATTTCCGTTTCGAGGGAACATGTGCTTGAGGCTGATATTCGTGGCTCAATACGGCGGCGAGACAACTGCCACTTCCGTTGGACCAGTCGTGGATTGACTTTTCTGGAACATTCCTGTCGACGCGGCTTCCGAAGTAATCTCATTCGAGTCAGCTGAAAGCATGCTCAGCTTTCGTCATCATCAGACCAGGCAGGGCATCAACTTTGCAGCCATATTCAAGCTATCGAGTCACGTAAGCTCACCGGCTCATCCCTAAATGCTGTATATGTACTCTATAGCTAAGGCATAAAGTGTTCAATTAGTTCCAGTTTTGTGTCGATCTCGAAACATGTGAGTGTGCCTGTGTGAGTGTTTATGTGTCTTTATGTATTCGTATATGTACGCAACCAGCAGTGATGGTCCGACGTTATTAAGACACAAACATCAGCATTTGTTCTCAACCATCAAGGTATGATAACCAACATTAAGAATTTTACATACATACATACATACAAATATACATAAATTTTTTTTTAGCCATTAATTATATTGTGCCATGTCTGGTTGAGTTGATGAAAATACAAAGAGACTCCAATCAAGGAGTCGTCAACACAACTAATCA